GCGGGATCAGGGCTGGGCTCACCCAGAGAGCTGCTCCCCGGCGGTCTGCCGGGGGTGGGGTGGGGTGGGGCAGCCCCCTTGCCACCCCAAGGCTCCCTGGGTCACCCAGGGGATGCTCGGCCTCCTCCCTTCCCCAGAGGCACTGGACAGATGGCCCTGGGGGACAGGACACAGGGACCCTCTGAGCAGCCCTCCTGCCCCAGAGCTGGCCTGCGGCTGCCGGACACAAGAAGCTGGAGACAAAAAGGAGCTGAAGAAAGAGGAGGCTGGAGGCCCGGCTTGACCGGACTTCAAAGGCCTGTGGACCGCGGGACTCGAGTGCACACTGCCCCGCAGGGTTGGGTTTGGGGGCCACAAAGCAGTATAATGTCTACCATCCCCGCAGGCCCTTTCCCTCCCTGGGGACAGTGTCTTCCTGTTGAGAGGGGAGCCAGCTGGGTCACCCGCTCTAAGGCCCACAGTTAGGCATCTGCCCCCTGCTGCCCCCTGACTCTGTGGGTCCTGAGCCCAGAGCAGACGCACCCCCCCCGCCCCCCGGGGTGCTCCTGGCTCACAGTGTGGACACTGCCGTCCATGGGGTGAACAAGGAACCGCAGCGCAAGTGTCACCTGGCTGCCGGGGGTGGGTGCCTACAGCGCTGAGGCAGGCGTGGGACAGAGCCCACAGCTCGTACTCCTTGAAGGGCCGGCCCAGCTTCGACAGGAGGTCCTGCAGGGAGACGCCCTGGGGGAGGCGACAGGGCGAGAACCACGTCACACACGGTGGGATGTGCCTCCCGCGAGACCTCTCCTGCAGATGAGCTGGGAAACGTCCCCACGTGCACACCTCCCCGGTGCTGGGAGGATGTGGGGACGGGACCCCGTGCACCGCCGGGGGACGTGAAGGAGCAGCCGCATGGGAGACGGCCTGGGCTCCTCAAAACATTGAAAACAGAGCGGCCATAGGACCTGGCAACCCACTCCTGGGAAATGACCCCAGAGAACTGAGAGCTGGGTCTGGATCAGGCCTTTGCACCCCCATGTTCACGGCAGCATCCTTCACAAGAGGTGAGAGGTGGGAGCCACCACGTGCGTGGATGGAGGACACCGTGGGCAGTGGGGCGGCCGGGCCTCAGGTGAGTGAGTCCAGGGTGAACTGTTTTACGGTTACCACGGTTTCCACGTAAATCACTCTCACTCTCAGGTGCGTGTCAGGATGTGAATAAAAATGGAAACACAGACCCCGCCCCCTAGTCCCTGGGCCAGCAAAGCCTGGTGGGAACTGAGGGTTTCGGTGGCACCCTGCCCGCCGCTGTGCTGGGCCGGGAGCTGTTCCTAGACACACTGGGTTTGGGCCATGGCCTTCCAGGTGGCTTTGTCCCCGGAGCTCATGGGGACACAGCTTCAGGGAGCAACTTGCTGGGAGCCCAGCAGGACAGCATGTTTGACCGGGCTCCGCCCAGTGTCCTCAGCCACAAAGGGCCACTCAGAGTGCTTGGGGGATGCTAAGCATACCCCAACTCCCAGGACACGGTTCTCACAGAGTCCCCTGTCCCTCCCTGCTGACGAGGGGCAGCACCAGGCCCGGGAGACCCTCCCTGGCCATGGGCCATGCAGAACACACCCTCACCCACCTGGACTGAGGCTGCACTTCCTGGCTCTCCGGCTCCTTCTGGAATCTGCTGATCGACCCCCAACATCATCCCTGAGTCTCCACCTGCATCTTGAGGGTCCTCAGGACAGGGAGGGTGGCATTCCTCCGCAGGGCCCTGGCCAGGCACCCCAGCCGCCCCGCCCCCACTGGGACCCACACCCCGAGCCCCTTCCCCCGGGAGCCCAGGCTCCTGCTCCGGCTGCAGCCTGGACTTGGGCTGGCCGTGGAAGCTGGAAGGGCCACTCCTCCTCTCGGGAAAGGCCTTCCCGGGGTCTGAAGGGAAGAATTCCAATGTGGGCAACTGGTTGTTCACGCCGGTCAGCGGCAGGCAGAGGGCGCTGGCCTCGGGGCCCTCGGGCAGGAGCCTGGGGACCGTCTGCACTTTCCTCAGGCGGCCCCTCTCTGTGGGGCGCTGGGCGTCCAGGACCAGGCTGGCCAGTCCCTCCCCGATGTGGCTTTCTCCGTTTTTTGCAGGGGGTGACAGCAAAAGCTTGGAGGACAGGGTCCTGGGGTCGCAGGCGGGCGTCTGGGGCCGGCCTTGAGGGGCGGGTGGGGCCTCCGGGTCAGCGCCATGGTCCCCAGGCTGCCTCTTGGGCCCCACACTTCTTGGAGCAAGTCTCCCCCTCCAGGCGCTCTCGCTGATATCTGGGCAAAAGCAGGGCTGATCACTGCCCCTGGCCAGGGCCCCAGCCCAGGACAGCCACCCCCACAACACCCCTGCCCATGGCCACCCCGGAACCGGCTCCTGCAGGACCCCAGCCCCACCTGTCACAGAGACTGAACACAGGCCCCTCAGGATGGGGGCTCCCAGCCGCCTCTTCTCTCAGCAACCCAGACACATCCTCGCTGCCTCGTTAATCACATAATCCTGGCTAATTAACAGGCTGCCCGGTCCCCTGGGCCAGGCCAGCTGCCCACAGGGGCTCGTCTAATTATCTCATCCAAAAAGCACATCGTGTTCTATTAGGAGAACACAAGTGAGAGTCTCCACAGGAAGAAAAAATTGTGGCCGCGGCCCTGCCCGTCCTGGCGGCAGCCTCCCCGCCCGCCGTCTCCCTGCGAACCGCCAGACACGCGCCCCTCCCGCGGGGACTCTTTCCTCGGCTCTGACAGCCACACAGCGTGGCCGGGTGCTGCGGCGTCACCGACAGCGTCACGGGGAGGACTCCACGGCCCCTCCTCAGCAGGCACAGGGCAGAGCTGACGCTGGCGTTTGTTCAAAACGCCATCTGAGACTAGAATCCCACATGAGCCGTGGAAACCCAGGCCCTGCGGCAACAGCCGGCACGGCGGGAAGTGACGTGTCCTCCGATGTGGCGTGCGGTGGGGACCGGAGCGGGTCTCACCCTGTGCCTGTGCCGAAATGCTCATGGGACCGGGACAGGTGTCCAGCTCCAAGCTCAGCCTTTTCTCAACACGACCTTGGTTCTCACTTCTAGCCGCATGATGTCTGCACAGCGTGAGTCTGTCCCGCGTGTGTGCGCACATTTGTATACCCAGTGGGTGTGCAATGCCTGTGCATGAGTGTGCATTATAAATGGGTGTGTACGCGTTTGCACATGTGCATGTTTACGTGTGTGACTGAGCGTGTGAGCATGGGAGTGGGTGTGTATGTGGTGTGTGAGTACACTGGTATGAATGTGTGTATGAGACCAGTGTCAATGTTTGTGCATATTCACATGTGCACGTGTGAATGTGTGTGAGAACATGCGCATGCCTGGGAGCATGGGTGTACGCAGGCACATGAGTGAGTGTGGCTCGCTCACCTTGGAAGGTTCCAAAGGACTCGAGGGAGAGCACCCTCCTCCCGACGGCCGAGAGGTTGCGGCACAGGCGGCAGGAGGACATGAGCTGCGTCTTCTCCTCGCACAGCGCAATGATGCTCTGCACACACGTGCGAGAGTCAGAATTGATTTGAGAGAGGATGGGGGAGAGAGAGAGAGAGGGAGGAACATCGATGTGAGAAATATTCATTGGTTGCCTCCCATACAGGCCACAGCTGGGGATAGAATCCACAACCTGGGTATGTGCCCTGACCAGGAATTGAACCCACCACCTTTCAGTGTATGGGACCACACTCCAAACAAGCCATACAGGCCAAGGCAAAAAGGCAAGTTCTTATAAAACAAAGTGCAATGCCACCAGATCCTGGGGAGGAGCCCGTGTGATGGGCGCAGAGCGGGGGGCAAAGGGGAAGGCCCTGTGTATGTAACGTGCGTGTGTGTGCATGTTTGCATTTGTGAGTGTGCATGCATGTGGCTCCAAGGCATCAGGCTGCATGGAGGTGTTGGGGCTCAGCCTCTGGGTGAAATGAGGGGTGGCCCAAGAGTTACCTCGAGATCTGGCCGGTCCCCAGGGTCCTCGGCCTGCATCTGGTCCAGCAGCGCCTCCAGGTCACGGCTCAGCCTGGGCTCTGGCTCTGGCTCCGCCACGTACTCGAGGGCAGCCTTCAGCGTGGCCCCCAGAGAGTAGATGTGAGCCTGTGGCACCAAAGAGCCCGTCAGTGCCACCGGGATTGTGTGTTGCTGTTTCCCCATGGCCACTGCTCTCCCAGGCCAGCAACATATTTTGGGGGACCATCCACGCTCTTTATGGCCACCTCCCCCACCGTGGACTGTCCTGGCGCTGAGCCACGCACCCCACTCTCTTCGGTCTGGAGTCTGCACTGGCCCCGCTGTACCAGCCAGCGACCCTGGACCCCTCCCGGGCACAGACACCTGGATGTCCTCCCCTGATGGCTGCTGTGTCTCTGAAGGGCAGAGACTTTTCTTTTTGGGGTTTATTCTTAAAAAATCAGATATGAGCCAGAGTGAAAGTTAAGGTTTCCCTATCTGCGTACGTGAGAGTATGTGGGCTTTTCAGCCTGAGCACGCTGGGACAGGCCCCATCGTGGCTGGGCACCATCCCACAGTGCATGTGGGGCTTTCCCATGCCCCTTTCACCAACAGGAGGCTGAGCCCAGAGGGGTTCAGACACCTGCCTGGGTCCACACAGCCAGGGTAGGAGTGCAGGTGAGGGCCTGGGCTGGGTGGCTCTGGAGAGATAGTCAACCCACCCATACGGTGGAGGCCGGGGCCCTGACCAAAGGTCAAGTTCCCTGCCGCCCTGCCCGGTGCTCCCTTCCCCAGCCCAGCCCCTACTCCTGACGGGCGCCCCCTCCGGTCCATGGTCACATCCCCTCTGGGGCCGGACCCAGCATGGCTGCCTCGGGCTCCCAAGAGCGGAGGATTTGGAGGATTCGCTGTGTTGCCGCGCCCAGGACCATGCGCACGAGTCTCAGCAAAAACATAAAAGGAAGTTCCACAACATCCCATGCAGCATGCTGCGGCTTTATGAAGTTAAGAACAGCACAAGTGAAATAACGCGGATTTCAGGAACCCGTATTGTGAGATGAGGACAGAGGAGGCAGAAGGGGTGGTGTTGGGTGCTGGTCAATTGGAGCTCGGCTCCCTTCCCAAAAGTACAATTAAAAAATAAAGCAATCCTCGCACGGACCAGGAATGGGAACTGTACACACCAAAGGTTCTGGCCCGTGAGGTCTGAAAATCCCCAAGACCGGACAGTGGGGTCCTGCGAGACTCATGGGCCCGGGTCCTGTGGTCCACGGAGCCGGGACGCGCACAGCCTCTCAGGGCAAGGGGCCCAGAACTGGCTTGTTTTAAAGTAAAATTGAGCACAGGAAGGGACAGTCCTAAACTCTTATTTGGGGTAAAATTTCAAACTCATGTCACGAAACTAACGGACTTTTACTGGGAAGATTCTTGAGTCTGTAATTTTTCGTTTCTTTATTAACGATGATTCACTTTCCTCTACCATCATCTTAGGAGACTGGGTGCCATGAAGAAAGATACCATGACCAATGGCTTCTGTGGCCATTCTCCACCTGGGCCAGAGCCCAGCATGGCACACGGTGGACAGCAGCGCTGAGTGGATGGACAGGTCCCCCCATCATGCCGCAGGGTCGCTGTGCAGAGGGAGCCCTGTGCCTGTGCACTCAGGGGGTCCAGGGTCCATGCAGCTGAGGGGGGCCTCCCGGAGGCCTTGGTGGCCACAGCCGGAGTGAGTGGGTGCGTCTGCCTAACGCTGTGAATTACCATCCAGAGGCTGCGAATCCTCAGAGACACGCCAGCCACCACTGGTAATTGTAGGCACTTTAACGTGTTAAATATAGACAATTCACACTTTAGAGAACATGCAACTGTAATGACAACACGCGAATCACACCCAGCTGTCACTGCAGCCAAGCTGCCTGCGGGAGTGACCGGGTGGGTGTGCCCCTGGGCCCAGGCCTGCTGAAGCCCTTCCCTGCCCGGCCAAGGCCGGCAGCCACTTACCTCAAAGGTGTTCCCGGTCACATCGAACTCCGGGGGAACAAAGGCTCCCTCGGGGTCATCTGGGGAAAGAAAGAGAAGATGCTGTGATCACACACCCGCCCGCCAGGAGGCGGCTCTGGGCGAGGAGCGGACCCCAGACCCGTGCTCTCCAGGGGCCGATTCTGCCTCCTGCCCCTCCCCTGCCCTGGTCCCTGAGGGGCGGAAACCACCTCCTTCCCTGCAAGTGTGGGAACAAAGCTCCTAAGAGGAAGGAGAGGCGTGTCTTCCCAGAAAGCTGAAGCACCAGGCCCTCCACTTGGGTCCTATCCATTCGCTGCAGGGCCAGGGGGGCCCCAGGGGCCTGTCCTCCCTGCGGTCAGGGCAGCAGGCCCTTCCTGGTCCTTTGAGGGCTGTGTGACGGGGCTGCAGAGACCAGCACCCACCAACAGCGCCCGAGCCCACGGGGCTAGAGATCCCATCAGGTTACCGAGGAAACCTGGGCTGTGTGACCGTCCCCCCGCAGCGAGGGCCCCTGCACTGGCTCTGCACCTGCTCGGAGCCGCCCGCCCGCCCGGGCCTCACCGCTGAGCTGCTCCATGAAGCACACGTTCCCGCTGGTGTTGAAGGCCAGGGTGTCGGGCGTGATGCAGAGCGTCTGGAAGATGGCCGAGTGCGCGACGCTCCTCATGGACAGGCTGCACTCCAGGCACACGGCCCAGGCCTCCTGCTCGCTGAGGCCGCTGTCCCGCAGGGACAGGATGTCGGCCAGGGACACGTTCTCCTGCCAACACAGCCTCACTGACACCGGTGCGGGCACAGGCCCTCCTCCCCAGGGAGGCCCCCAGCGTCGCGACTAATTCTGGGGAGGCAGACAGCGCGTGGCAGTTTCATTTTCTGTCAGGGAGGAGGTTTTAGACAAGGCTTTCTTAAAAAACCCAACAGAAGCCACCGCTCGGTTCCTGGATGTCAGAAGCCACAGAGCACTCAGCAAGGTGCTCAGGTGCCGCGGGGGGCAGGCGTTCACGCCTGTGGCCAGCACCTGTGCCTCGGTCCCTGCAGCCCCTCGAGCCAGGTCACCCACTTGCCAAGACATCCCTGACCCGCCGCACAGCACACAGCGCGGGGACAGGAGGCGCTGGCTGTTTTAGGTGTGAGCAGAGGAGCGAGGCGTTGGAACTGGGAATGGAGTTGCCGCCTAGGAAGCTACAGCCGTGCACAGGGAGCCACTCACAGGGCTCTTATGCCAATCACGGGACACGCACCAGCCCGCACATGGCCTGTGGCTGCGGAGCGGCCGGACATTTGCTCCAGGGAGCTCACACGCAGGACACAGCCTGACCCCAGGCCTCCCCGTGCAGGTCACCCTCCAGGTCTGAGTGGGTTCCTCTGATCCTGTAGGAGCTCAGCTGTGATCGTATCACCAACACTCACACCTAACACATAGCCACGTGCACACAACGCCCCTCTGTGTGTACACACACGGCCACATACCAACACGTGCACTCACATGCATGCACACACACACACAGTCTCACACACATAGCCACGTGCACACAACGCCCCTCTGTGTGTACACACACGGCCACATACCAACACGTGCACTCACGTGCATGCACACACACACACACACACATCCACCTTGGACCTCAAGGCCCTTCTCTGCTCTTCTGTTTGACGCCCTGGCCGTCTGTGTGTCCCTGTGTCCGTGTACCACCTGGGTTCCAGAAGGGAGGGCGGACGAGGGACCAGGCTGGGAACCGGGTGGTGGGGCCAGAAAGGGTCTGGGCACGGGCCTCTGAGGAGGAAGGAGGGGGGTTGAGCTGGGGG